CCCAACCAAGCAAGACATTCCTAATCCTTACCCCCTCCCAACTGACACAAAACCAGCAGAAGAACCTCCCCACTTAATTTTAGCCACGGTGAAACCAGAGCGATCCCATGATCCTCAGGTTTCTGTTGTACCAACTCCAAATGCAGTTCAACCACCTAATCCCCAAAGATATCCGAACTTTTTGCACATTCCTCCCCCTCCCCAAATTGCTCCAAACCCAATACCTTCACACCCATCCCAAACCCATCATCTGTCCAACACCCAACTACTTTTGGTTCTGAAAAGCTCAATGAACACTAACAAATCAGCCCACCATAAGGATCAACTACCAGTTACTAACTCCAACGTAGTTCCTCCAAAATCCAGTCCTCAGTTTGCAAAATCCAAACAACTTCTTCCTGAATCTAGACTACACCTTCCGGAATCGAAAACACATCATACAGAATCCAGTCTAAATGATCAAGAATCCATTAAACTTCTTCCAGAGTCCCAACAACTTTTTTCCGAATCTTGTCTACATCAAGAATCCCAACAACTTCTTCCTGAATACCGTCTACATCTTCAAGAATCCAAACAACTTCTTCCTGAATCCAGCCAACATCTTCAAGATTCCAGCCGACATCTTCAAGATTCCAAACAACTTCTTCCCGAATCCAGCCGACCTCTTCAGGAGTCCAAACAACTTCTTCCCGAATCCAGCCGACATCTTCAAGAAACCAAACAACTTCTTCCCGAATCCAGCCGACATCAAGATTCCAAACAACTTCTTCCCGAATCCAGGCGACATCTTCAAGATTCCAAACAACTTCTTCCCGAATCCAGCCGACATCAAGAAACCAAACAACTTCTTCCCGAATCCAGCCGACATCTTCAAGATTGCAAACAACTTCTTCCCGAATCCAGCCGACATCCTCAAGAATCCAGTTTCAATCTTCATGAATCCAGCCAACTTCTTCCTGAATCCAGCCAACTTCTTCCTGAATCCAGCCAACATCTTCAAGATTCCAGCCGACATCTTCAAGAATCAAAACAACTTCTTCCCGAATCCAGCCAACATCTTCAAGAATCCAAACGTCTTCCCGAATCCAGCCAACATCTTCAAGAATCCAAACGTCTTCCCGAATCCAGCCGACATCTTCAAGAATCAAAACAACTTCTTCCCGATTCCAGCCGACATCTTAAAGATTCCAAACAACTTCTTCCCGAATCCAGCCGACATCTTCAAGAATCCAAACAACTTCTTCCCGAAACCAGCCGACATCTTCAAGAAACCAAACAACTTCTTCCCGAATCCAGCCGACATCTTCAAGATTCCAAACAACTTCTTCCCGAATCCAGCCGACATCTTCAAGATTCCAAACAATTTCTTCCCGAATCCAGCCAACATCCTCAAGAATCCAGTTTCAATCTTCAAGAATCCAAACAACTTCTTCCCGATTTTAGCCTACAGGTTGCAGAATCAAAACAACATCTTCCCGAATCCAGTTTGCCTTTGTCAAAGTCCAATTCACTTCTTTCCGAACCTAGTAGTTTTCCGTCACAATCCATGGGTCTTCCACCAGAGTCCACCCTGTGTCTTCCAAACTCTGGTTTACTTCATCCAAAAGATGCAGCTGTTAATGGGGCCTCGGCTGCTGCTCATAGAGGTCCCAGTTTAGGGAACTCGTGTGAGAGCGTGGGGTCAGAGGACACATACCTGTAGCTTTCACAGCTACGAGCAGGAAGATTGCAGTATTGGGAACCAGTGTTCTTTATGATCGTAAGATGGGAAAATGAACTATGAATGTATTTGAGTTTTGGAGAATCTTTGTCACAAAAAATTGTGTGTCATTTAGCATTGAAACTGCAGGAATAAAATGCTAGACTAGAAGGATTCGATGAAATACCTTTTTAGGTCTGGGGTCACCACGAATAGACATTTGTGGCGATTGATTTTGGGAAGATCTGTTCTGCTTTGCTTTTGTTCCATTTTTGTTTAGATTTGCTATTGTTCCAGTTTTGTTTAGCCCTGTTTCATTTGTTTAGCATATATATTTTGCTTTAATCATTTTCTTGTTTTGTTTTTGTAACACTTTATTTGCCATTTCTTCATTTTGATTGGTCTTAAGTGTTGTTTTGGTCTTGTTTTGCTTTTTACATTTTGTTTGGCCCCTTTTCTTTTTTGTTTTGCCTATGCTCCATGTAGTTTAGATATTTTTTTTAGCTTTTTTTGGTTTTGCTTCTTTGCAAGTTTTGTTTGGCTTTTGTTTAGTTTTTTTTCTTTCATTTTTGATTCGATTTTTTTTTTGTTTTATTCTTTTACCTTTTTTTTGCTTTTTTGTTTCTTTTTTATCGCTTGTCTTGCTTTTTTCCATTTTGTTATGCTTTTTTTAAAATGTAGATTTGTTTCCTTTCATCCATTTTGCATTGTTTTGCTTTAGCTTTGTATTGGTGTGTGTAAGTTACGTTTGATATTATTAATGTAGATAAAAGTCAATGTGGTAATTAACCCGAGATATCTAACCGTGTTCAAAAACCTGCTCAGTCAGTGTCGAACAGACTTTATTAAAAAACTTTTTGTTTGTGTCATTTGCTGCTTGAAAAGGAAGGGTCTGTGTTACTGTCTTTCTTTTATTACCACTCTTCTGAGTATTGCTAGTGTGGGCCTCACTCAACTGTTGAATATGTAAATGAGTTATTTTGTTTCAGCTTCGTCTGTTACTATTTAGTGTGTATACAATTTGTCTAACAAGTGTTTAAATAAACAGTTCATTTTGTATGTTCGCAATAAAGGTTCCAAATTGTAGTGAAAGCACTCAGGAGCATTAGATTTGTTTAGCATCTGTTATTCAAGTATCATTCAAGTACAATGAATCAAGAATCTTTAACAGGATGCTTCCTATTCATAGAATATTCAATAGCCAAGAGTGACCTGAAGTCAAACGTCGAACCGTTTTCTATTATGAAAAGTCTAAATATATATTTAGAATTTCTTTAATTGTTTAGTTTATTCTGTTGCATTTTTACATTTTACATATTGCTAAAAAGAATGACAAACTCACAGCCCAATTTGAAATGTGTGCATGGAGTGTATTAGAAGTGAATATTCCTGTGAAAACACTCATATAAACCGTATATAGCACTAGAGTTATTCCTTTTAGTCGACTTCCAGAGACTGGGTTATTTTTGTTTTTGCACTTTAACCTTTAAAATTAGAGTATTCCAAATGCTTAATTGTGTTCTAGAAAGTCCCCAAGCACACAGATATGATGGGAAAGCTGGGGTGTCTCTAAGGTGTTTTGTTAGCTTTTCTTGGGAGAGAAACTGAATTCTGGAGAACCTTTCCGTCTCGTGCCTCTGGGTGGTGCTGTTTCCTTACAAACGCTCCATTCATGCACTTACTACATTTGGAATTGAAATGAGCAGTTAAAAGAGCTTAAACAGGTTTAATTTTTCCCCACTTTTTCACATTCTCAGCTGTTTTTATTTACATATTGCTGTTGTTCTCCAGCTGCAAGTTATGGGATCACCTTCATATAATTACTGTTATCAATTAATCCTTTGATTTATTTGTGTGTAATTAATCCTCAATGACTGTCGCAATTTTTACCAATAAAAGCACTTCTAACAACATCTCACTGTGTTGTGTTTGTTTTGTACTTCAGTTACCATCAGGAAGGCCTTCAAAGATCCTGGTGAAAACTGAAACCTTTACTCCGCGCCTCATCTGCTGCAGCCTGTATTAAGTGGCTAATTGGAGAGAGAGAGATTTTCTTTCATTCTTTTCTGTCAGAGGTCTGAAACTACGACTAAAATGCCCCGAGTAAACTCTGCCTGAGGTCAAACAGGCTTTACATGAGTGTATGGAGCTGTAAAGCTGCTAAGCTCAGATCAAGGCACACATTACTTAAATCTGATGTTTTCCACTTTAGAAGAGAAGCTTTAGCTGCAACAGTTAAAAACACTGTTCAATTGCGCTGCTGTGGGCAGAGAAAACCTATTACAGAGTGTTTTGAGTATAAACGTTTTGTTATATTTGATAAAGTTTTGCTTTATTAAGATTATCTCTTGTGTAAAAAGTACAAATATATAAAGTTTGATTTCTTGACCATTTTTCAGAAAGTATGAATAATAATAATGCAAAAACATTTTTTAGTTGTTGGCTATTTATTGTTAAAAGAACTATTACACACCACAGCTCTTGATATTTTGTATTTCCCTCTTTAACACCAAAGACAGCCTGAAGTCTCTTGAAGTAGCCGTCGATGAGGTTCTTTATCTTTTTTTTATCGGTAAATCACTGCATTTGTTTTGGCAAAAGAAAAACTGGTGCGTATAAAAGCACTAAAGCAGTCACTTTGTCATGTTTTACTTTTGGAGGGTTGCCAAAATCAAAATTTTGATTGCGTGTTACATATGAAAAATATTTTTAATAAAATAAATAAACAATATAAAAGATTTAGACTTCATCCAAACGTAAAAATGTAATTTGGTGTGACGTCCACAATTATGATAAAAACAGCTTTGTTAGTGAAAGTATCAGTAGCACACAAGTATCACCACTTTTTCAAGTATTTTCATAGTTCTCACAAGTTTTATATCTTTTTTATAATATAAATATCCATTTGAGGAGCAATGCCCACCTTTACATGATGACTTGAACGGAGGGCATAAATAAACCAAAAAATTCAATACCAAATATCAAAGCAATCATGATTAAAATGTTTGATGAAGTGAGTTAAAAAAATTATGTGCTCCATTTACACTTTCTGGCTTTCCCATAAAGGCAAACACATTTTCAACATGCTCACAATATAAAAGAACATGTATGTCTTTGGAAAGTTAACTAAACGATTAATTTTAAAATGAGACGTGAAAAAATTTTTTTGTGGCAATGCTCGATATATTTTTTTTAGTACATCCACACCTTCTTTTTAGATTTACTTTAATGCAATTAGCAGAAGCTTTTATCCAAAGCGACTTAAATTTTAAATGAATGAACAAATTCTTTTATCAGTTCCTGCTTTCCCTGGCTTTTGAACCCACAACTTTTGCATTGTTAGTGCAATGCCCTACCAACAGAGCCCCGGAAAGCCATATATGTTTTATTTTAGAACTATTTTAGAAATATTTTTTCATTATATTACACAATAATTTAACAACAAACCTGAAATTGTACAAAAAAAATACAATTCTGAATAGTAATTATTGTCTTTTTTTCACTGCAAAAATTGAGAACAAACAGCTTTTATGTTTTTAACAAAAAAAATTAATTTTGAGATCAAATAAAAATTCATAAAGCCCCAGAAATATCAAAAAGATTTGTATATAAAAAATAAGCATTTTCTCCTAAACCTTATCGACATATATTTCTACCAGACTTTGAAAAACACTAGCCACATCACAGATCTTATACTTCCAAGGAGGGGTATCCTTTCTTTTACCACTAGATGGCACTAATGGCAGTGATTTGGGGTCTGTAAAATGAAACTGGAGATGAAGATATATATTTCTTTTATTTTAATTGGAATTATTGATGCATCCTTCTTTTTTTTAATTCAAGTTAAAGTTTAACAGTTGAAAGACCTCCAAGTCTTTCCACAATATTAATTTAGGTATAAATATCATACCATCAAACTGGTTATACACAGAATTAACTGTGATCAATTGAGTTGACTTGATTTTAATTTGTACATCGCAAGTAATGTGAAATTTAATAACAATGAACATATTTAAAAAATGTTTTTCTTTTCAGTGTATCAGGGTATATCGTGAATACTGTGTATTCACTACTGGTCAAAACTTGGGTAAAATGTTTATTAAGGTTTTTAATAGTACAAACTGTTTACATTTTAAATCCCACTGATGTCCTTAAAATTAAGAACAAACACGCAGAATTTATGTGAGAATCTACGACATGAACATTATCCAGTGAAAAGTAGAACAGAACAATGTAATTTTTAGAAAAATTAGTTTTTGTTATCTCTACAGAGAATCGTTTTAGAAAAAATAACTTTTTTTGGCAAAATAAATCTTAATATTTTGAAGGAGGCAGCACTTATTTTTTTTATTCATTTTGCATCTAATACAATACAGCTAAACCTAGTGATGTAGTGTTTGACATATATCATATAAAACATTTAAAATAATTTAAAAACAAATCATGTTTTAAATGATGTATACAATAAATGTGATATAATAAAGAAAAATCAATATATTTGAGGTGCCCTTACATCAATTATGCTCTCTACTAATAAACATTGAATTTTATTAAATTTAAATGTGTATCTATTGAATTAAAAAAAATGAGAATGAGGAGTGTTATAGACATGTAGCTGAATTTAGAATGAAATGCAGTGATTTTTAGATTTTGATGCATTTATCTCTTCGTCTCGACTTTTACTCTTGTATATATCAAATGGAGATTTGTCGTTCAGAAGGATAACAGTATAGTGTTTGGCATGTTAGTTATTAGGTGAGAAACACTATTCCTTTGAGTGATGGATGCTCTGACACTTATAACCTCAGCCCAAGGTGTTTCGGGTTTGTACCTGTGAGAACAGTGACATGTGCCTCAGGAAAACGCCACATATTTCTGAATCTCGGACTTGAGTCGCTTCTGAGACGCTGAACAATTATTTTCACTGTTTGACCTTTGGAGACCAGGGTTGATTGGCTGTGAATCTCTGGATCGAAACTCCTTCCTGTGGCCTTCCCGTTCCGAAGTCCTTCCTGGAAGAAGTTTGGCTGTTCTACCTGTGCTTGCGTTGGTTTCCTCCTGGTTTACTCTGGTTTCCCCCACAATCCCAAAAAACATGCTTTCAATGTAATTTCAATCATCTTTTCAATCACGAATGTCATATTTTTTTAGTTGATACATTTTGATGAACCCGTGCTCAGTGCATTCGTGGGGACGAAGCGAAAGCCAGCCGATGACAATCACAATAAGAACAAGTTAAAAATATGAGAAATTCTGGTGCTGGACAGATGGTGATCTCCTACCGCTCACCAAAGAGAAAAGTTTTTGTTAAGTGAATTTCTGAAGTGTCACTCTTGTTTTGCCCAAATAACTCAATTAAGTTTCAGCCCTCAACAGCACCTTAATTCAAAATGAAGCTGGCTTGTCCCAATGTGCTTTGGCGTTCCTCAAGCGTCACCATTTGTGACATGGACAGATAAACACATTAGTCGTCCATAAAGCATCTCCTTGTGTAAAGTGCACTGAATAGTTGAACGATGCACAGTGACGCCATCTGCAGCATGGTGATGTTGTAGGTTTTTGGAGCTGGTCTGAGGGTTGTCTGTGACTGTTCTCACCATCCCGCTTCTCATCTTATCTAAAATTTGTGTTGGTCTGCCATGTTGGGGATTAACTAGAACTTTTGCCTCTGGTCTTCCAATTCCGCACAGTGTTCCTCACAGTTGTAATTGAGAGCTTAAATCTCTGAAACCACGATGTTCATCAATCATTGTTTTCAGCTCATCTGAGAGAAGCTCTTTTTAGAAGATGCAAGATGAGAAATGCTGGCCTTCTGTAAATTGTATGATTGTATTCATAATGTATGTTACTGTATATAGAGGTCAAGGGTCACCCAGGTTATCAGACCAATTTTATTTCTTATATTAAGTGTTAAAGGTATTTAAATCAATAAAAACACAAGGGTGCCTAAACTTATGCTAAAATTCTCACCCACTCTCCATAAAATGATTTATTTCACTTCTCAAATACCACTGTGTTTGTTCCTTATATGATTTATTTAAGTGAAATTTTGTATCCAGACAACCAATGATTTATGGAAAAAATAAATCTACAGGGGTGCCCAAACTTTTGTATAGCACTGTATTCTATTCACTGTATACTAATTTTTGTACGTATAAATCACTTTTACATATCACTTACTTTATTTCTGATATTTAAAAAAAAATATGTAATAAAACTATAAGATTTGGAGCAGGCAAGCCCTTTTAATAAATATTTAAAATCAAAATCTAGCCTCAACTGTTTTAAAAGTAATTAGAAACGCATCATAATCTATTACAGTAAACAATTTAACTTTTATGGCATCTCGGAACCAAACTTTAACCATTTTTTGTGGTTAGAAAACATGAGACAAAAATGCTCTAATTATAAATATCAATATCAGCCAATATTTTCTCTTCAGAAAACTAGATTCAGATCATTACTGAATGGAAATTGATATTCAGTTATGATTTCTCCTGTTTTATCTCCTGAGGAGCATCAAGAATAGAAAAGTTCAGATCTTGGTCTGTCAGTGGAGGGTGGTCTGGGAATGGGGGCTGCAGGTTTAGTCTTGATCCCACACACAATCTGTTAAACAGTTGTTATCCAGCTCATCAAACTCCTGCTGTGCTGAGGATAAGCACAGTCTGAAGCAGGGATCATGTCTCCTGGAATCTCTGGAATCTCTTGATTGTGTTTGATTACTATTTGCTCACTTATCATTTTCTTGTTTAAATGAACGGGTTACGTAATAAATATAAATGAATTATAAAAACTAAATGAAATTCGTTATATTCCTGTATACATTGTTATTTTTTATTATTTTACTTCAAATGCACTGATGCTTTATTCTGATGTGTGACCTCCAAACGAAAGCTTTCTGTCAATGATAATACGTTCTATTTAATTATGTTATTGAAAAATGTTTGTAATCATTTTTTGCTGATTATGAAATCAAGTGTAAGACAACGGGGTGTAACAAGGAAAGGGTTAAATATCACACTGTGCAGCCGGCAAAAGGCCACTACATACAATGCAAATTTTTGTGCGACTGCGCATCTCGATCGAAAATCATGGAGGCCAACTGGAGCTTACACATCTGATTGAGCGAGTGGTGCAAGAGTTTTGGATTGCCATCGTATACGTTTTTCAAAAGGAAAATAACTATTGAAATCTGGCTTTTTTGATGACATGAAAGAGCCGCTCGGTGGCGCTCATACATCATTTTCATAGCAACTTTGTACAGGGAACAGGAAAAAAATAACTCAAAACAAATCCTCTCTTTTATCCACATTTTTGTCAAACAGCTCCCTGTAATCAGCCAACAGTATAAACCCCTCATGTTGTTTTTTTTTCTATGTGTTCTTTGATTTCTTCTATGTTGTCGTCTTCTTTTTTTCCTGTTCACCCATCTGTTGTAGTGCAAATGCCATCTTCTGGTAGGGAGCGTCATTGCATCAATATTTCCTCAACCCAGACAAGGGCACCCTGTCGAGAAGCCATCTGAAGATTTGTGCGAAATTTCATTTAGATGCTCTTTAGACAAGAGCCGGGTGCTTCTCACTCTATTGAGTTTTCATGTTTCGGTTAAATAAAGCCGCGTTTCTGTTTAATCATCTCAAACTCTTGCTTTCACAGTCTTCTACTTGGTTTAGATCAAATGTTACTATTATTCTTTTAATTCCAACGTGTTAATGTTCATTTCCTAAGGAATGAATGAACTTTAAAGTGATAAAAATGTGCATTTAGCTATGTTTATCGCCATAGGATCCTGAATCTATGTAGCATGTGTGCATGACACCACCAACACAGTAAATATGCAAATGATCAGTAAATGCAAAATGATTAGATTTTATGACATTTAACTGAATTACCAATAACAAATTTCATGGAAAGCGCAATTAAAATTGAATGAAATTCTCTGGAAGTAAATTCTCTGGGCTGACTCATATCCAAACTATTGATTGATAAATAACATGAAACTTGTATTTGATATTTCAACTTGTAGGCTTTTTTTTATTTTATTTTAACCTCAGCCCATAAAAACAATCTGACAGTAGATTCCAGCGTTACACTGGATGGGTGATCTGTTGATTTGTCACAGCATGGCCGCTTTGATAACGTAGCTGAAAACCCAAGAAAAGTAATGAATCACTCACTCTGCCTCACAGAGAGCTGCAATAACACCAGCCCACACTTAAAGATAGGCCCCGGGCAGTTGCTCGGGATTATGAGTCAAAGTAATGCTGAGAAAGGAACTGTTTTAGCATTTAGCTTGTGATGTAGCATTAAAACCATGAAGGATGCGCACGTGTTTGCCTTCACTGTATAGAAGCTCAGAATGAATCCCAATC